TTTTTTAATTTATAAATTAAAGTAATAGCTAAAGCTTATTTAATTTATATATTAAAGTAAAAGCTTAAGTTTATTTAATTTATAAATTAAAAAAGGGTTATAAATTATTATAATAAATAATTTCTAAAGCTTTATACTTAAGTATAAAGGTTAATATTAAAGTAGCTAGCTTTATTACTTATATTAAAAAGTATTTATAAAGATATTTTTTTTTAGCTAATTAAATTAAGTTAAAAGTTATACTTATATAAGATTATACTTATATAGTAAAAATATTATACCCCTTTATTAATTACTTTATTTAAGTAATTTACTAAATAATATAAAGTAAATTTATATATCTAGTTAACCTAGACTAGATTAATAAATAAAGTATTAATCCTTCCTTAAATTAATAAATAGTTTATTAATTTATTATTAAATTAAGAAATTATATCTTAATCCTTCCCTAATTAATTAAAGAATTAAAGTTAATTTAGTCTAAGCTAACTTATTAACCTATTGTTATACCCTTAAGAGCTAGGTTATAATATTAAATAGCTAATTATTATTATAGTATTTATAATATAATTAAATTAGAACTTAAATACTTATTTTTATTTATATTATTAACTAATAATAAGATTACCTATTACTAACTTAATTACTTTACTAATATAAACTATAGAACTACTCTAAGGTTTATCCCTTAGAAATAACTAACCTATAGTATCTATAGGACTTAGTTTATTATAGTTATAAACATATATTTAATATTTATCTATATAGGCATACTTTAAAGATAGACTAGTTAAATATTAAAGCTATATAAATACAATAAGCTAAATATAATTTCCTATGCTTATTTTATATTACAAATCCAGATGCATAGCTGAAGTTATTATTATTGAAGTATCTTTAATACTTATATAATCTTACTTAGGAAAATAAAGTAAAACAGATTTTATAGCGAGATCTTATATAATAGTTCGTAATAATAAATAATAAATATATTCATAAATAGTTAAGCTGCGTTTCCAAATATAACCTTCCTCCTTATAGAATATAACGGAAGTTTTCATTACCATCTGTCTCCTCACCAATCTCGTCTTCGGTGTGAACAGCCTGTCGAGCAGGGCCATATTTCTCGTCAAGTTTCTTATTAAGATACATAAGCTGGAAGATTTGCACAATGGACAAACAACTTGCAATTGTGCAAGCCCCGAATGAAATGTAGAATCCCTTTTTGTAGAGCGGGCCTTGAGAGGCAGGGAAGATGTGCGTACCCAAAAGGGGGCCGCATTGGCCGACAAAGTTCATGAGGATGAACCCAGCACCACGCTTAGAGTCGGATCCATTGTTGTTGGCAACCCAAGACAGTACGAGGCCGATACAGGGGTAAAGACCTCCTGTAATCAAGAAAAGTGCAAAGTACTTGACTCCGACGTTGTGAACAAGAACCAAGACTAGGTAGCCAATAGCACCCGTGCCAGAGCAGATTGCTAGGAAAATACCACGACGCTGGAATCTGTCCGACAAGTGCCCAACAAGCAGGACAATGAGACAGGCAAAGAGGTATGGCGGAGCAGACAAGCCCTGGGCGTGGATGGACGAATAGCCCATACCCTGAAGAATTGTAGGGATATAGATAGGAAGCGACGAATACCCAACATTCATCATAAAATATATAATGGTAGGGACCCAGTTCTTGAGGTCAAGAAGGGACCCTAACATATCCTTGAGGTTGACGGTATGCCCACGTTCGCGGTTGCCGGTCTGACGAATGGTACGAGCGGCCGCAATCTTGCGCTCCGTTTCGTTGAGGAACTGGCAGTCGAGGGCATTACTGGGCAGCCAGTAATAGCCAAACAGACCGACCGCAATGGCAGGAAGACCCTCGACAAGGAACAGGGCGCGCCACCCAGCAATGGCGTGGTGATGCAAGGTGACAAAAAATGCAAAGGCACCAGCGAAAGACGCAGCCAACGGTGCAATGGACACGTACCATCCTAGCCGGCGACCCATCTCCTTGCGGTAATAGAAGAAGGAGAAGAAATAAGCCAGGCCAGGTGCGTAGGCAGACTCGAAGATGCCAAGAAGCAGACGTAGGACAAGCATGCCAGCAAAGTTCTGGGCGGCACCACAGGCGCCTGCGATGATACCCCAGATGATGATAACCGTGGGCACATAGTAGCGAGCAGGGAAGATTTTGTAGAAAACAGTCTGCCAATCGAACAGAATGTATCCGAGATAGAGGACAGTCAAGAGCCACTGGTACTGGCCGTCGGTGATGCCCAGGTCTTTAGACATACCAGCGACGTTTGCGTTACCGATATTGCCACGGTCCATATAGGCCAGGATATAGGCGCCAGACACATAACCAAGGACAATAATGTCAATCTTCAACAGGAAGCGGGCCTCTTCTTTCTTAGTGTACTGAAAAGAGAGCGCATCGAGGCGCTGGACATCCTCGGCGTTCTTCTCACCGGTCATGGTGGCAGACTCAATGTGCTGTTCAACATCGTTGGTTTTGGCATCGTCGACTCGCTGTGACGGCTCAACGCCAACTTCTTTGGAGTCCATGACGTATCTTGGTATTGCTTGCAGATTGCAGAACTGCTGTATGAGGAAGAGAAGAGGAAGAGATCTAGGGAAGGGTGACGAGGGATGCGGATGGAGTAATGAGATAACGAGACGGCATGCTTCTCTTGTAGATTTCAGAGAACGCGGGGGGGCGGGCAAGTTGCCTCACTGGGAACAACTCTAGCATCCAGAGAAGGGGGTGGACAGACTATGACAGCATAGGGAGACATGGTACGCAATTGGGCTCTTGGGTAGCGTTTGACAGCATGTTCTAGAGGGCTACTAGGGTGAAGATTCATTCTACGTACCCACGTTCGCCTACTAGGTACTAGTTTACAGCTGTGTCACAGCAGTGTATACAGGTACTTCTACAGCGATGGATCGTTTTCAGCGAGTCCGCGCTACCGATCGCGTATTGAGTTTGATACGTGGAGGAACGGGGCGTGGCATTTAGCTTATGATGGGGGCTTAGGCAGTCAACTATCTGATAGTTTGCTTGGTCTAGTTGCTAGATGAGCATTGGCTGATATTCTAGACTACGCGTCCAGGGGCCTGTGTTTACCGGTCGATATGTCGTTTGTCTGACCGCGGAGGCATATGACCCCCGCTCATAGTCAACTGTCTCCACATATACCCGGATGCCGTGCCTAGCGTGGGAATCAAAGAGGGGTAATCCGGGGAAATCGGGGATGAGGGGGGAATCTGTTCGGCTACGGAGAGTGCGTATTCGGGCGTATTTGCCGGAACTTGTCCACTTGACACTAGGAGAAGCGCTGCTCAGCTGAAGCATGTGTCTGGGGAGATATGCCCCAACAGATGTGACTAAGCCCTTAATGCTAGCATTGCTGGGGGTCAAGTAGACTCCATGTATCTCGCCTCTGCCAGTCTCAATAGGTGGCGGGCTAGATAGGAACGAGTTCGTGGGGGCAAGGCACAATGGGGTAGGCGAGTCCATGACAGCGCTGGTGGCGGACAAGACGCATCTGATGGATTGCCAAAGTTCCTGAACATCGTGGGGGGTTGGACCATTTAAAATATGTATTTTGCGCGACTCTATCACCCGTAACAATTCTCTACAAAACTCTCTCCAGCTATTTTCTCTCACAGCCCTCGGATATTCGTCCACTATCTGCGCCATGCCTTCATTCAATATCCTCGTCCTGGGCGGTGACCATATCGGCCCCGAGGTCGTCGCCGAGGCCGTCAAAGTTCTACAATCCGCCGAGTCTCACCCAGCCGTGGCGGCCAAGGGCATCAAGTTCAACCTGGACCATGACCTGCTGGGTGGTCAGTCCATTGACGTCCACGGCATACCACTGACAGAGGCTGTGATTGAGAAGGCCAAGAAATCCCACGCTGTGCTCTTTGGTGCCGTCGGAGGGCCCAAATGGGGCATGACGGGTGAGCTCAGGCCTGAGACATCGGTGCTGGATCTTCGTCGTGCGCTCAACTGTTGGGCCAACATCCGTCCGGCCAAAGTCCCTTCTAATGGCGTGGCCAAGTGCTCACCCCTGAAGGAGTCTATCGTTAAAGGCACTGACTTTATTGTGCTACGTGAAAACTGTGGCGGCGTCTACTTTGGCGATAAACAAGAATTCTCGAGCGAGAAGCCGGACTACGCCAGCGATGTTTGGGGATATCATCGATGGGAGGTCGAGCGCATTGCCAAGATGGCCGCGTACCTTTCACGCAAGCACGGTGGGACCAAAGGTCCCAGCAGGATAACAAACATTGACAAGGCTAATGTACTTGCTGTGTGTCGCCTGTGGCGCGACGCTGTCTGGAAGATCCGCGATGCCGAGTTCCCTGACATCCCCATGACCAACCAGCTCTCCGACTCGCTAGCCCTCGTCATGGTCAAAAATCCGCGTTCGCTCAACGGCGTCGTGCTGTGCGACAACATCTTTGGTGACTTGTTCTCTGACGAGGCCGCGGCTGTTGTTGGTTCGCTTGGATTTTCGCCTTCCGCTTGCTTGGCTGGTATCCCTGGTGACGGGACAAACTCGCCAGGCATGTATGAGCCGAGCCATGGTTCTGCGCCGGACTTGCAGCCCAACTGTGCCAACCCTGTTGCCACTATCCAGAGTGCTGCCATGATGCTACGGTACAGCTGCGATCTCGACTTCTTGGCCGATGCTATAGATGAGGCGATCAGCGTTGCGCTTGATGATAAAGAGGCTGGCGGTCTGGAGGTGCGCACCGGTGACATTGGTGGATCTGCGTCAACCACCGAGATGGGCGACGCCATTGTCGCCTCACTCAAAGTTATCCTAGATAAGATGGTTTGAATTGTAAGGCAGAGCATCTGTTATGTCATAAGGAGGACGACACATGGCCCGGGAAAGGCAGCATAGATCATTAGGAAGTTGGTGTATAAAATCATCGTTTGATAGCAATACATGTGTACAGAAACATACGCGGAGAGCACTCTGTAAACTTCATTCGGTCCATTTCTTCTATCCTATCCAGTATTATTGAGGTTCAAGGAATATACAGAAGACCGCATCGCTCCAGCGTCTGCTGTCACAGACCAGAATCACAACCCCGCATCATCAAGCAGAATTCCTGCATCTGGAAATCATCATGTACCCCACACGCACCCCCAGCAGCTATGTAATCACTCACCCTTCTCCGCCTTATTCCCATTGATCCCCACCGCACAAGTGTAGACGTCTCTGTGGGGTGCTGCCGGGGCCTGGCGGACATCTTACATGTAGAGGCACAACTCAGTTCTCGACCTCGTCTGCTTCACGTTCACCAAGGTATAGCCCCCGCGCATGGGGCAAAAGAGAACCCCCACCTACAGAAACGTTGGTTTTATCCGTCCAGCCTAATGAACGCCTCCGTTAGGTCTGGTTCCTGTGGTAGGTACACACATGGTCACGAGCAACAGAGTTAGTGACAGTGTTAGACGTAGTTAGCTCCCCGGGCTCAATTATTTGGAGCAGTGTCGTCTATGACTTTGAGATGAGCATTGCCAAGCTATAAATATCGTCACGAACAAAATTGGAGATCTGAGTTTGTGCTGGTCGCTCCCTATCAGCACTTTCGCCTCTCGAATTCGCAAGAAAGGTCATCTACGGCCGCCATACCTCGACAATGGGCCTCACTCTCTACGACAAGATCTACAATGCTCACCTGGTGGATCCAACAAACACCACCGCACCCCTCCAGTACATAGACGCGCATCTCATCTTCGAGGTGCCAACGCCTCAAGCTTTTGACGGTCTCAGAAGGAACAAGCGTTCCGTTCGTCGGCCTGACCTTACCTTGGCTACCGTTGACCATAATGTGCCAACCGACGACCGTTCGGGCTACCGCGATGCCTCGTCCTTTCTGACTGAACCAGCGGCGAGGAAGCAGGTAACTCTATTGGAGAAGAACGTAGCCGAGCACGGGATCAAGTACTTTGGCATGTCAGACCGCCGCCAGGGTATCGTCCACGTCGTCGGGCCTGAGCAGGGACTCACGTTACCGGGTTCAGTCATCTTCTGTGGCGACTCCCACACGCCCACGCACGGAGCGGTAGGCGCATTAGCCATCAGCGGCAGCGTAACCGAGATTGAACATGTCTTGGCCACGCAGACGGTACTACAGCACAAATTCAAGAACTTCCGTGTGCGTGTCGAAGGGGACCTAGGCCCTGGTGTGTACTCTAAAGATATCATCTTGCATCTTTTGAGCAAGATTGGCACCGCAGGCGCTACGGGATACATTATCGAATTTTGTGGATCAACTATTCGCAACCTCTCTATGGAGGCGCGTATGGTTCTCTGCAATATGAGCATCGAAGGAGGTGCCCGTACAGCGCTTGTCGCGCCTGATGAGGTCACCGTTGAATATCTTCAGGGTCGACCTCTGGTGCCTTCGGGCGAGGACTGGGACAAGGCATTAACATATTGGAGGACGCTGCAAAGCGACGAGGATGCCCACTGGGACTATACAGTTGACATCAACGCCGTCGATATTGTGCCCTCCATTACCTGGGGCACTTCGCCGGACGATGTCATCCCCATTACAGGAACGATACCCGATCCTGCAGACCTAGACGGCAAGGACGACATCAGAGCAGCAGCTATACGGCGTTCACTCAAATATATGGGCCTTCAGGCTAACATGCGCGCTACTGACATCCAGATTGACCGTGTCTTTATCGGATCTTGCACTAATTCGCGTATTGAGGATATTCGCGCAGCCGCAAGAGTTGCCTCTGGCCGTACGGTTGCCCCTAGGGTATATGCTATGGTCGTGCCAGGATCTGGTCTAGTCCGGAAACAAGCCGAAAGGGAAGGCCTGGATACGATTCTAAAGAAGGCTGGCTTCGATTGGCGCGAACCTGGCTGCTCAATGTGTCTTGCCATGAATCCTGATAAGCTGGCCCCCGGTGAGCGATGTGCCTCCACCACGAATCGCAACTTTGAGGGACGTCAGGGAATCGGAGGACGAACTCATCTGTTATCGCCGGCCATGGCCGCTGCTGCGGCTATCACGGGTCACATGACGGATGTAAGAGAGCTCGTGGCCACTGGGAATGGTTCCCTCAGTAATACGCAGCTCACACTCGGAGGCGATAAGGTTATGAGTGCCGGTGCTGTTACCGTTCAAACTGAAGCAACCTCCACCAACACCTTATCCCAGCCGGTTGTGGACGAAGCGTTTCCCAATCGCCCCGCAGAGGAGAGCAAGATTAGTGTTGATGGTATTCCCAAATTCGACATATTGTCATCTGTGGCAGCGCCATTTGACATGCAAAACATCAATACAGACCTCATCATCCCAGGCGAGTTTCTCAAGACAGTGACGCGGACAGGTCTTGGGCCCAGTCTCTTCCGCGAGCTACGCTACGACCCTATAACCATACAAGAGATTCCTGAATGTGTCCTCAACCAGGAACCTTGGCGGCACGCGCAAATTCTTGTCTGCACTGGGGCAAATTTTGGCTGTGGATCTTCTCGAGAACATGCCGTGTGGGCATTGACGGATTTTGGCTTCCGCTGTGTCATTGCACCGTCTTTTGCATCCATATTCTTTAACAATGCGGGCAAGAATGGTTTGTTAGCCATTGCCATTGACGATGCGAAGGCACTGGGGCTTGTACATGCTGAGGCCATGGCCAAGCGCAACGTCGTGGTTGATCTGCCAAACCAAGAGATTCGTGACTCCAGCGGGAAACGCATTGTCAGGTTCAACGTCGACCCTTACACCAAGCACTGCTTGCTCAATGGCTTGGACGATATTAGCTCAACTCTCGTGAGCGAAGATAAGATCTACGCATTCGAAACGAAGCAGAAAGCTACCTTTCCGTGGTTATTTAATCGTATCAGAAAACTACAGCCTCCGAAAAGGCTTGGTCTTGATTTACCAGGTGCCAAGGATCTGTTGGAGTGGTAGTAAGAAGAAATGTCTCTTCATAATGCATGCTACGTTACTGTAGGTGAATATATGAGTCAAGTATGAAATCACAAACTCCATGGTCAGGAAGAAGAGACTGTGATTGTCTTAGGTGTGAATGTTTTGTGTCGCACCGATTCCAATAAATATATTACACTGCCCTTGCTGCTATGGACAGCGAATGCCCGCTACACTAAATTACACGCGTTTTGGGAGGGATATCTACGGCGTAGACAGCCTGGTTGTCAGGTTCCCCCAGCTCATGGTAGTTCATGGAAGCCAGCGATGGTGATATCGATATCGCCACCCGTGTACACAAAATCAGACCGATCTGGCCGGAAAAGTCGGCAGTGGGGGTCAACGAGGGGTAGAATAGGTTCTGTACTAGAGAGTCTAGCTCGAAACCTCTTATTCCAGATGGGGGGATACTATGCCTCTTAAATAATCTCACGTATCCAACGTGCAAGTCCCTGGTTGAGCTTAAAAACCAGAACAGCAACAGGGTGAGGACTATCCGACTTGCTGTGCCTTTCACGCATTAACAGACCAAGATGACCGTCAAGTACGCTACCGTCTCGCCCCTCAAGTGTGGCTACCTCTCACCACCAGCGTACAAGTTTGTAGCCGATGCCAAGGATGGGGAGAAAATGACGATGCCTTCGATGGCTTTCTTCATTGAACACCCAGCGACCAAGAGCAAGATCGTCTTTGACTTGAGTATCCGCAAGGATCTTACCAAGTACCACCCAGGATTGCAGAAGCACATTGCCACGCGGGATCCTATCAGTAGCGAGGACGATGTAAAGTCGGCTCTTGCGCTGGGCGGCTGCGACTCCGGGGAAATTGACTATGTGATTGTTAGCCACATCCATTGGGATCATGTCGGCACGCCGTCCGACTTCCCCAATGCGACTTTCATCTGTGGCCACAACACCGACAAGCTTCTCAACAACCAAATGGGCGAGGACCTCTACAACCCATACTATGAACCAGACTTACTACCCAAGGATCGCACCATTGAACTTCCCGCGGTACCGAGCCAGGCAGAGGGCGAAGTCTTCGAGCCGGAGCGCGGCTGGCGTTGGCAATCCAAGCATGATATCCCCCACGCCATTGACATGTTTAACGACGGGTCAATCTACATTATCAACAGCCCCGGTCATGTCCCAGGCCATCTCAATGCCTTGGTGAGAGTTGCTGCGGACAAATGGGTGTACCTGGCAGCGGACGCCTGCCACCATGCGCGCATATTCAACGGCGAGACGGATTTCGGCGCTTGGAAAGACGATAAAGGGCGCACTATTACTATTCACAAGGATCTAGACGCAGCGTACAAGACGTTAAGCATGATGCAAAGACTACAGAGAGAAGGGCTGGATGGTTCGCTAGTTGAGGTTGTGCTCGCCCACGACGGCGAGTGGCAAGAAAAGAACGCGCGGTTCTTCTTCCCCAACCACATATAATTGAAGTGACGTTGCCACGGCGATAGAATCATCAAGAACATTAAACCTAGTTATCTGCAGAGGGAAGCTAGGCCAAGTTCATAATGTATTGTGCTATAGCATGTTTTCCCGATCAACCAGGACTCTTTTAGATCTCTCTCAGCGGTACTACATGTAGTTGCAGTATAAGGCTTATCCTACACCTGTTGTATAGTATAGGCCGAAACTACAGTTGTACCATTTTGCGCATGTCACCAAAGTCCGCGATTCTACGAATATTCCATATATATCCCTAAATTAAAATTCGTATAGAGGACTCCGTATATAATACAAATTAAGTAGTTTAACTCGGCTTCTGTGCCTTGCTTTGGTCAGGCGTGCATCTGCCAGATGCCCAGACCAGACCAGACGCACTCGAGTTCTTTTGAATTTCAAGATTGTTTGATGAAACACGTCAACGTTCATATTCACCTGTTCTTTGCCCACGCGTTAATCATGCAGCGTCAACGCGTCGACCGTGACATGTATCAACTGGCAAAAGTTCCCATGATTGCCTCTGGCAAGCCATGCAGCCAAGCGCTTCAATATCACTTAGGCTCCCTGACCAACAAACCTCTTCCTCTGCAAACACGTACCAAACACCATGCCATCGTCGCGTGGTTGGAGATTCTGCACCACTAGGGTTATCGACTGTCTCTACATACTCTCCCCACGCTTCCCCCCATGATCCCACCATCTCTCCAAGAGTGCAGTCCAAGGCCGGAATACTGCACCAGCGTACCCCACGAGCTCCGATACACCTCCGTTCTTAGTATTGCACAGCATGGATTGCGACTACGGTAGAATCCCACGTTGGGGGTTACGATTTGGCTCATTTCACTAACCGATCAACCCCCCAAACCCCCATCTATGCCTTGTCACAGTGAAGTACTGTTACCAGCTGGATTCTGTGAATGACACTGTCATCCATTCTGACGCCTTGTTAGCGGAACCAGAACGTCTAGTTTCAGTATTACCCGGTAGCGTCGGTCAGCTTCCGGCGACCCTTCTCCCCGCGTCCGGAGTGGGCCGCTCATCTGACACTCCCCCAATGTTTCTAGGCTTCTATCCATCTCAGCTAGACCCGCCAAGTTTGAGCCCCTAAAATATGTGTGTATTGAATTTCGTTCTACCTTTCTGTTAAACAATAGCTTTCCTCAACGCAGTTGAGCTGTTAATCACACACGTCTTGCTGATCCCCCAAACCCCCCAGTCAATAGCTAAATCCCCCACCTAAAAACAAAACCTAGGACAGGTACTAGTTTAATAGGCGAACATCTTGTAGTCTCCGAATCGTTTTCTCCATATGCAGGGCGAACCCATAGCGAGAAAACACATCTTTATATATTACAGCAGCATGGATCTAGTGCACTTAAACTTTTCGCATACAATAGAGTTATTGTTATTTCGGATATTGAGTATTCTTTTGTTCCTGTTTATCTTATACTACTATACTTTTTCCCCCTTAAACTAAAGGTTAAACATAATTAAAAATAAAAATATCTTAAATATATAAATATATTAAAATCTAAAATAATTTATTACTAAATTATTTATTTTTATTTATTTTTTATTATTATAATATTTATATTATAACTTTATAAACTTTATTATTAATAATAAATATACTAGCTAATTAGATTTTAGTAGTTAAAACTAAACTTTTTTAAATTTCATAATTAAAATTAAACTTAATTAAGAATTAAGTACTTATATTATATATTAAAAAATAACCTAATTAATTAAAGGCTAGGTTTTAGTAGTTTTATATATATACTTTTATTTATAATATATAATAAGATTTTTTATATTTTTAAGTAAAAAAATAAAAAAGCTTTATTTTTTATTTTATATATTTTTTACTTTTTTAATTTATAAATTAAAAAATTATTTTACTTTTTTTTTAATTTATAAATTATATAACGAACCGGGTCCTATAGGTTAGTATAGGTTAGCTGTTTCCAAGGGATAAACCTTAGAGTAGTTCTATGGTTTATATTAGCAGAGTAGTTAAGTTAGTAGACGGGCAATTTTATTATTAACTGTAAATAAAGTATTTAAATATTTAATTTAATTACTATAGTATTAATAATAACTAGCTATTTAAGTATTTTAATAAATAATATAAAGTAAACTTATATACTTAGTTAACTAGGCTAAATTATTAGTAAAGGTTAATAATTTTATTATAGATTATTTTATAGTTTTAATAATCTATTTATAGATTATTAGATTATTATAATAATTTAATAATCTATTTTTAATTAGTTAGTCGGTCTATTGTTTATTTAAAACTAATTATTTTATAGGCTTATTAGTATAATTATAAAAGCTAGGTTGTAATATAATATCCCCCTTTTATTAATTTTATCCTTAAGACCTTACTTATTTAAGTATAAGTAGTTCTTCTTTACTTTATAATATATTCTTTACTACTTATTTTTTATTTTTTTTTATGTATATTAACTTACTTAATAATAATAAATAAAATATTTAAAAGCGTTTATTTAAAAATTAAAAAACGTAAGAGTTTTTTTTATTTTATAATTAAAAATACTTTAGCTATAGATAAACGTTATTTTTATTATATATTATATAATTATAAAAAGTATTTTATATTTTTTTTAATTTATTATATTATACTAAATATATTTATTTAAATAAATCTTATTATAATATTTATAATTTATTTTTTAAATAATTAAAGTATATTATTATTTATTATTTCTACTTAAAAAATAAGCTTAAAGTAGCTAAAAAGGAGTATTATATCATTAATATAAAAATTAAATATTTTTATAAAAAAAAGAAATATTAATATAAAAAAATATATTATACTATTATATAAGGTATTACTAATTTAAATAAGTTAAATAAGGTTAAGTATAAGGAAATAAAGGTTATTTATTAGGCTACTACGTTATAGTTAGTAAAGGGTTTTTTTAAGGTTATTTTTACTTTTTTAAAGTTAGTAAATTATTTAGGGATATTAGTAATAGATCCTAAGTTAGTATAATCCTTAAGCTTTAATAACGTTTTTCTACTAATATTATTAAATTCTTAAGGTATTTAATAAGTTTTTATATTTTTTCTTTTTCTTCCTTTTTTTTTATTATATTTTATAATATTATTTACTATTTTCTTTTATTTTTATTACATTAATATTTTTGACTTTATATTTTTTTTCTTTTTTTTTAATAATAATTTCGTCTTAAATAAGTCTTTTAGTTTTTTTATTAATTTATACTTTTTTTAGTAAAGAGATATAAAATATTAAATATATATATTTCCTTTATTTTTCCTATTATTTTAAAAGTTTAAGTTTATAATTTACTTTTTTAATTTTTCTTAAAATTTTATAAAGTTTAAGTTTTTTAAAATTAAGTTTATTACTTAGCCTATTTATTTTAATATTTACTTACTTATTTCCTTATATATATTAATAAAGCTAAACTATATTTTTTTCTTAAAAGGTTAGTTTTTTAATTTTATTTTTATTTATATATTTAATTATTCTTTAATAAATAAATTTAAGTTATTATTATAGTTTATTATATAATTTAATTATATCTTCTACTTTAATTATAGTTTTCTTAATATTTTTCCTTTACCTTAGTAGTTAGTAGGCTTTAGGTTTAAATTTATAATTTAAGAAAAATAGTAATTTCTTAATTAATTTAGATTTTATATTATTATATATAAATTATATAATAAAAAGTAGTTCTACTTAGTTATTTTACTTAAAATTAATATAATAACGTAAGTATATTTTAATTATTTAGTTAAATTTTTTTTTATTTATTTATCTATAGGTAATAGGCTGTATTAGCTTTATAATTTATTTTTAATTTAGCTATAAGTACTTTTTAAAATTTAAATATAAATATATTTCCCTTATTAAAGATTATATCTTTTAGTAGTTTATAGTTACTTATAATATATTTTATTATTATATAAACTAGTTTTTTTATATTACTGGCTTTTTTAAATAGTATAAAGTAGGTTATTTTTATAAGTTTATTAACTACTATAAAAATACTATTATAAAGTACCTTTATAATTAGTTTTTTTAAAGGAGGTAGTTTAGTAATTAAGTTAAATAAAATTAATTTTTATAATTATTATAGTATAAGTAGTAGTTATAGCTATTTATAGGGTTTATATTTAAAGCTTTTAGCTTATTTATATATTATATATTTTAATATAACCTTTTATATTTATGTTTTAATATTTTTAAATTTAAAGTATTATATAATTTACTATATAGTTTTTTTAATTTTATAGTATTTATTAAGCCTATATATATAAACTAATTTTACTACTTTACTTCGTAAGTTTTTTAGTACTTAAATAAGTTTATTTAATATTAAATATTTAGTATTTATAAAAATACCTTTTAGGTATTATTTATTTTCCTAGTTTTTTATATATTTTTTTATATTATTAATAATTAAATTATCTATTTTAATTTAATATAAGGTATTAATTAATTAAATAACTAGGTCTTTATATTAGTTTTTTTTTAGTATTTATACTTTAACTTCTAGGATTTTTTTAAAAGTAATTTAAATACCTACTAAGTATATTAGTATATTTATTATTTAATTTACTATAATATTTAATAATAAGCTTAAACTTAAAGAGTTATTTATAATACTTAACTTATTTATAAAATAGTTTTTATATTATTATAAAGTAAATAATATTTTAATAATTTATAAAGATTATTATTAAAAATTAGCTTTTTTTATAATAGTATTTTTAATATTATTTACTAAGTACTTAGTATATAATTATAAACTTTTTATTATAAATAAAATATTTAAGTTTTAGTTTATATAGTTTCTTAAAGAAGTAGGTAATAAACTTAAGTTTCTTTTTTTTATTTAGTTACTAAGTACTCCTTTAATTATATAGTCTAAGGTATTAGTTTTAATTATAATAAGTTTATTTAAGTTAAATATTATAAGTATTAGTATATTAGTAAAAGTTTATTTAAG